ACATAGAGAGTATATAATAACCTACACTTTGCAGGCAGGATGGTGCACGCTTATAATCCCAGCACTCCAGCACTTGGGAGGCTGAGGTAGGAGGATCACAAGTTTGAGGCCATTCTGGGCTACAGAGTGAGACCCTGTCTCAAAATCTAAAAACAAAAACAAAAATCAAAAAAGAAAATCCCCCAAATCAAAAAAACAAAACAATGATTCAAGTGGTAGAGCTCCTGCCTAGCAAGGGTGAGGCCCTGAGTTCAAACCCTAGTACCACCAAACAAACAAACAAAGAAAAAAAGATTAAAGAGAGTAGCTTCAGGAAATCCATAGGGGTGGGAGTCAGCATGACCTGGTTGAAGGAAAATGCCCCTCACCAGGTGCCTGGGATCTGATGGAGGAGGGGGGAGGGGGGAGCAGGCCAGCTGGGCTCCTGAAGCTGGCAGACAGTATGAAAGGACATGCCAAGGAGGAAGATCAAGGTATTATCAGAGTTAAGGGCTGGCCCAGGGTAGCCCACATGTTCCCGGAAGTGCAAGCGCGGGAAAGAGTGGTGAGGGTGTGTGCAGAGGGTGTGTGCCCCGTGGGTCCGGCAGACGTGGCAGCTACCGGTAGGGGCCGAGCTAGGGCAGTGAGCTCTCCTTTGCCCAACTAACCTCCAGTCCCAAGGGAACCCTGCGCCAGTCTCGGACAATGTACCAGGTAGAATCTTTGCTCACCCCTTCCTACCATGCTGGCCTGACTCCCTGCAGGGGCCCCATGCCCTTCCCTGCCTAAACTTCCCTTCTCCCCCTTTACATCCGGAGCTGCTTTCCCACTCCCTGCCCTGGGAGCTCTATGGCCAGACCCAGACAGCTCTGTCTTGCAGGAGGAGGGGAGGAGCAGGTACTGGGGGGGAGGGACACATGTAGGAAATGGAATGGAAGGGACAGTGTGACTGAGAGATAAAAGGAAATGGGTTTGCCTTGGCAGCCTTTCCTGGACCCTACCCATAAGGAGGGAAGGCTGAGGGCTTAGGGTCAGAGAGATGGGACCATGCCCTAGTATTTGGGCATGGTGGTGGGTGGGGATAGGTGAGGCTAAGGAGCAAAAGCCTGTGACAACCTCACTAACTGGGGGATTTACATCCTTCACTGTGATCCCCCCTCCCCCCCTCAACATCTAGCAGTGTGGAGACAGACAGAGGTAGGGATCATATTCCCCAGTTCTTCTACAAAGAGCTGGGGACCTTGACAGAGGTAGTCTGGCACAGGATCTGCTCAGACTGTCCTGGGCAGAGCCAGGACTCTACACTGGGCACTGCTCCCCTCCAGGCCCACAGAACGTGACCCTGAGACCTGGGGTAGGGAGGCAGAATTATGGGGAAAGGCACTCCCTCCAAGACTCACCCCAGGCTTCTGGGGCTCACGTCCCCTCCCCACCACCACCTTTCCGCCTCCAGCGCATTGGAGGAGGGCCTAAGAGGCTGGACGATGACTCCCTTTTTCCAGGACAGCAAGAGGCAGCTGTACACTGTCCACTGTCCAGGACATGGGACAGTGGTCCATAGGGTGCTCTGTGTCCTGAGTTAGGACACAGAATCTATTTAGGAATCTTGATGAAGACCTGGGAAGAGAAGGCAGGGGGAGGAGACTTTGGGGACGAACTGAACTACTATGCAGATCATAATGAAGCCCCTTTCTTTGTCCCTTTCTGTCTCTGTCTCTGTGTCCATCTTCATTTCTGTCTTTGTCTTTATCTCTTTTTCTTTTCTTTTTTTCTCTTTGCATTCTTTCCTCTCTGTATTCTCCTCTGTCTTTGACTTTCTCTTTGTTATGTGTGTGTTTACCTCTGTGTATCTCTCTCTCTTTCTGTTTAGTACTTGTGCTCTCTCTTTCTTTCTTTCTTTCTCTCTCTCTCTCTCTTTCACCCTCCCTGTGTTCCTCTCTGTCTCAGTTTCCTTTGGGTGTCCATCTCTCTCTGTTTCTCTGTTTTGGTCTTCCTCTATGTGTACACGTGCCCATGCCAACCTTCTGCCATTCCCCTTCCAGGCTTCTCCAGCTGTGAATGGCTCTTTGGGGCAGGAGCCCCAGAGACAGCTCCTGGACATGGTAGGTGGGGCCCAGGAACCACCTCCAAAGGACGGGCTGCCACTGCTCACCGTTATCATTGCTGTCTTTGTCCTGCTGGCAGTGTGTATTGTGGTGGCAGTCCACTTTGGACCAAAGCTGCACCAAGGCCATGCCACTCTCTCCACAGAGCCACCAGACCCAAAGCCAAAGGATGGCATCTACCTTATCCACTGGCGTCTGTTGAACTCCCAGGACAGTCACCAAGAAGCCCAGCAGAGACTTCCTTTCCCCAGGCCCAGCATTGATGAAGTCACATATCTGTAGGAGCGATAGTTGGAACATTAGCCCAATTTGGCTTAGAACAAGAAACTGGACTGAGAATTCAAGCACTAGCATATTGGACCCTCGGTGTCAGAGCTGTGGAAGGGCCACTGAACTCAGCTGGAACTGTGCTCTCAGAATATTTACAGAGAAAGCTCTGTTGTGACAGGAGAAATAAAAGAAGCTTGAAGATTCTGTCCAGAAACATGCTACTGTAGGCATTCCCAATGGTCAAGACCGCCCTTATGAAATTCCTCCCTCCCCTCAGGGACCTAAAGACCCTAAACCTCCTTCTGAGTCCCTGCTCCCTCCTTGTACCCCTGATCTTTTTTCTTTTGGTGTAAAATGAATCCAACTTGGAAAATTCTGTCCACAGGCAAGAATGTCAAAGGCCCTTTCTCCATGCCCTGGATCCTATGAAGGTCAGCCAGGGAAAGGTGAGGCAGAGAACCCTAGTGTGCCTTCTCTTGAGACGCTGGGGATTCAGGGAAGGAAGGACTCTGTCACCTTTTAACCCACTGGAAGGCAATCCTTCAGTTCGCAGAGCCTAGGCCTTTTTGACCACCTTCAAAGCCCTTGGAAACCCCAAGCAGCGTTTTAGTTCAGAGATTGGCTTTGAATGGTTCCCACTTGACTCTGTCTTGCCTTCCCAGGATGTGATGGGGGAAGTTTGGGGACTTTCATTACCTCCCACTTTCTGTGTGGATAGATCTGTAGGGATAAGCCTAGAATTTACCACAAAAACATTTCCCAGATCCAGAATTCTCTAGCTAGTGGAAAAACAGGAAAGGAAAAGAAGCTCCATGGAAACTGTTTGGAAAAGGGAAGAGTGTGAAGGGGGGAAAGTCAGCAGGGAAGATCAAGAAGACAAAGCAAGGCTTACTGGTAGCTCTCTGGAAAGGCACCCCTTTCCCTGGCACCTCAGAACCTCACCCATGTGCAGTCAAGAACATGCAAACATGGGCTGGCCCTGAGTTCAAACTCCAGTACCACGGAGAGGGGGGTTAAAAAAAAAAAAAGAACATGCAGAAAGCTGGGCACCAGTGGCTCATAACTGTAATCCTAGGTACTTGGGGGGCTGAGATCAGCAGGACCACAGTTTGAAGCTAGCCCAGACAAGTAGTTTGTGAGACTCCATCTCCAAAATAACCTTGAGGTGTGGCTCAAGCAATAGAACACCTGCTTTGTAAGCCGCTCTGAGTTCAAACCCAGTCCCACCAGAAGCAAAAACAAACAAAAGACATGCAGACAGGCATGTATGAAGGGTCTGGTGCTTTACCCTGGGCACTCCTAAGGACAAGTCAACCTCTGGGATGCAGCCTCAGTGACACCCCTGTACAGTCAGGGAAGCTGGGAAATAAAGGAAGATAGCAAGGAGTAGAGGGGTTGCTGAGTGTTCTTTCTTGTGGATTAGCTCTGTGCTAGACAGTGGGCCCATCTGAGGCCTACAGATGCTACATCATTCATGCCTTACAACAACCTTGGCAAGAGATGCCACGTTAGCTTCATTTTACACTTGGACAAACTGTGGTTTATTAAAGCATCCAGCTGGACACAGGTACTAAGTAGTGAAGTCAGGATTTGAACCTGGATCCATCAGACTTCACAGCCTGGGCACCAGGCTGGGGGCTGATAGGTGAGCAAAGTCAAGCTGGGAAGGCCCTTGATTCTGGGCTGAGTTCTGATGTAGAAGTCACTGATATGTTGGAGGATCCTCCAGTCTTGGGGACAAGATTGCTGGGACAGATAGACTGTTTCCCCCTTGATTTCCTTGGCTATGTTATCCTTAGGGGCAGCTGGTTCCCTCTGACACATGTGCTTAAGTGTGGAGCTTTCTCCAAAGTGAGGCTATACTCAAAAATGTATATGGAAGCTGGGCGCGGGTGGCTCACTCCTGTAATCCTAGCTACTCAGGAGGCAGAGATCAGGAGGATGAAGGTTTGAAGCCAGCCTGGGCAAATAGTTTGCAAGACCCTATCTTGAAAATACCCTTTACTAAAAAGGACTGGTGGAGTGGCTCAAGTGGTAGAGCACCTGCCTAGCAAGTATGAGGCCCTGAGTTCAAACCCCAGGACTGCCAAAGAAAAAGAAAAAGAAAAAAAGAATGCATATGGATTTGTTGTGATAAAAACAAAGGTAGGAGAAAGGGAGTAAGTCCAGCCTTGGTAGAACTAGTAGAAATGGGCTACCTTCCCTCCCAGATGGGGATGATTGCGTCACTAGCTTGTCCTGACAATGATGGCATAAGTATACTTATGATATGGTGTCTGGCTGTGTTGTCCAAGGCTCCCAGGGTATGTCCCATCTCCTTACACAAACATTCTTCCTCCCTAATCTTTTTGCAAGCTCTCTCATCTGGGAACATTTTTTTCAGTGGTTCTTGCTCCTTTGAGCAAGTGGTCCTTTTCCAGAATGCATCAGTGTACCATTCATGGCATGGTTTGGCCCAGCCCTGGTCCCTGTTCCACAAGCTTCCCACTGGAGACAAGGACATTGAAAAGGTAGGTGGGATGAGGGCCTCTCTATGGTGGACTTGGTCCAAACTGAAATGACACCCATCCCACAACTGCTCTGTAGTGGATGAAGAAGGGTACAAGATTTGGGAAAGCAAATCTGGGCATCAGGAATAATTTATTGCCAATCTATTGTATATGTCTGAGTCTATCAGCTGAAAAATCACACACCTACACTGGGTAATCTGAGGAGTGTTTTTTTTTTGAAGGAATATTGAGAAAGGACAGGATATAAGGAAAACACAAAACAGCAATACTCCAGTGGAGAGCAATACTGTTGCTATGGGTAGGGGAGGAGAGGCCCTTCCAGAAGCCTGGAGATAGACAGGTTTGCTGAGTGTTGCCTGACAGAAGAGCCCACAGTGATCTTTAAACTACTGGGAGGGACCTAGGGAATGAATATCCCAGGCTCATCCTTCTCTTTCCCTCCATTCCCCTGCTGGAGCTCCCCGTTGAGCCAACATGACCAGAAGCCAGGGGCCATCCAGATAGGTCAGTGTCCCAGGGCAGAGGAGGCCTAGAGGGTCAATGGGAGAAGACTGGCACATCCTTTAACTTTACTTGGCATTTAATTTACACAAAACTTCTACACATGCATAGTCCTTGCAACAACCCTGTGTGAGGTGAGCAGGGTAACAAGTATAATCCCATTTCAAAGAGGAGACAGGCTCAGAGGGATGAAAGGCCTTGTCCAAAGATATAGAACTCATCTGGAGATGTTAAATCTGGGGAAGAGACCTGCCTCTTTTCTGTGAGGCTCCAGTGGGAGGAAATCATTCTGTTGAACATCCATCTGCTGAAGGATGCTCCCAATTAACAGTCTTGAGGTTCACTGGAGGTTCAGATGAGGTGATCCTGGGCCTCAGATGATATCCGTGCGGAGCGGGAGAGGCTGTTCCATATCACTGATGAGAAGCCTGGGCTCTTGGGACAGCACAGAGGAACCAGGCACCACTGAGGTCTGGAAGTTGCTCACAGTGACCTCCTCCCTTTCCTCCTGCCTCAGGTGCCGGAGAACCTCCTGTGACAGCGAGAAGCTGTTTCCTTCTGCAGGTTCTGGAACATGGGACATGGTGTGTGTTGGGGGAGATGATGAGGACCCTACACACTCCTACTAGAATGCATCAAAAAGGAATTGCTAGGAAGCTCCTCTAGCCCTCCCTACCCCCCGCTGCCACGCTAGCCGCTGGGGCTAGAGTTTCATGGAATCTTAGAGCTAGAAGTGGTTTTAAAGGAAAAGGATTCCCATTCTCTCACTTTTAGAGATGAGGCCTTCCCAAGGTCACATAGTTAAGGAGTAGCAGAACCATGGGTGCAGGCCAGAATGCTCTGCTTTCTGTGGCATCCCTAGATGAAGTGAGGGGGTCCTAGAACCACCCCCTCTTTGGACCCACCGAGGTTTACAGATAAAGACCTCAGAAAGCAATCTAATGTTTCAGGACAGCATGGGACCTCTCTCAGGAGAGGAAAGGGCAGGTTTAACCTCTGACCACTTGGAGACCCAGGAAATGGTGCAGCCTGCAGCCATATAGCCTAACTCTCTAGAGATACTGGGGCCCCTGACTCCTCCTACCCTCCACCCCATCAACCTCTCACCCTGATAGACAATGAGGCGGCAGTTGTTCTGAGAATCAGGGACATCGGCCAGGATCTCCTCAAGTGTCCGGCAGAAGAGTTTAGCCTGTTCAAGCCGATCCTCTCGGCTAAAGCCAGCTCTGCCATCCTGTGACATGGCAAACAAGGTCTGCAAGGGGGTGGCATACTCCAGGACACAGGCACCTGCCTGAAGGAGGTAAAAGAAGACCTGAGTGAGCCAGGGCCCAAGGCAAGCAGACTCTGGACCCTGGTGCTATGGACTGAGGCCCCACTCTCTCAGTCAGCAGGGAGGTGGCCTGGCAGGTGGCCACCCTGATGGGGTCTCTGTTGTTTGGCTTGTCTTTGTCACTGACACCCCTCTTCTGAAATCAGAGCCAGGCTGAGCTCAACCACCCTTCACGGATCCTTCTCCTAAGATCCCAGGCCCGTGGCACTGCCAACCACTCCAGGTAGAAATCAAGTCTGGGGATGGGTTCTGGGGTTTAGCTCAGGCCTTGTTTTTCCACACACACACAAAATCCCTCAGATGTTCTCACAGCCTTCCTCAAGGGAAGCTTCATGGCCAAGAGCTTGCTATACTCAAGCTGAAATCGTCCACTTTCTCACTGTGTCTCTGAGCCTCAGTTTCCTCCTTTGTAAAAAAGGAATCATAACAGTCCCTACCCTACAGGGGTGGTAGTGAAGATTCGATGACGTGGTCTATGATGAACCCAGAATAGCATCTGACATGCAATAAATGTTACTTCTTATTATCATTCATAACTGAATCTTGCCTTGCCCTAGAACCAACTGGAGAAATAGGCTCAGAGAAGGGTTCTGGGGGCCTTGGTCCCACCCCTAGGGCCCTTAGTGCCCTGCACACTCACTGGACGCCCATTCTCCAGAAGTTCATAGACGCTGTTGGAGTAAACCCGCCCTTTGATGCCAGCCCGGTCAGTGCTCTGCTGGGGCAGCGTATGCAGGAAATGAATGTTGGGGTCAGCCACACTCAGGTCATCAGGTACCCCACAGTCCAATGGTAAAAGGATGTACAGCTTTCGACTCCCTGCACCCTGTAGTATGTTGTTGTGATGCTGATTGTAAGTTTGGATCCGAGCCTGGAGTCCTGGGGTAAAGAAGTCCAAGAAGTCATCCCTTTAACCCTGTCTCCCACCCAATCCAGCACTGAGGCCCAGGCCATTTGCCCCCCCAGTGTGTGGATGAAAGAGACTCAGGATTTAGTCCACACCATTATACAGGAGATTGCAGAGAAAGAGTACCCAAGACCCTCTCCATCCTTCTTCCTATTCCCACCACCCTGTTACCTCTTTTCTTTTTCCTGAATTCCATGCCAGCCCCACTCCTTCCCCCCATAGCTGTCAGAATTCTGAGGCTGGCAGAGCTCTGAAATGTGACTTCCCAGCATTCCCAAGTGCAGAGAGCCAGGTCTCCAGCTCCAGAATGCTTCCTAGCAGAAGCTCTAGGCCCAAAGCAAGGCATCCATGGGACACAGGAGAGCCACAGCCTTAGCTTACAAAGTCACAGGAGTGAGACATATGGGCTCCATGTGAGCCAGGGCCCACGCTCTGGACAGACCTGGGTTTAAATCGTATCTTCACCTCTCAGGTATGTAATAATGGACAGTCTCTTATCTCTCAGAATCACACTTTTTTTTTAATCTAAAATAGGGATGATGGTGATCCCTTCCTTACTATACATAAGTTAAAAGAAAAAATGCACACAATAAATATTTATCTATAAAAAGCATTCATGGATGACCTTGGGCAAGTCACTGAATGGCTTTCAGCCCCGTATCCCTTACTGTAAACCAGGCATAATAATAATATTCTTCATGCTGACAAGGATGCATTGGGAATCCATGAAAATGTTTTGAAAAGTATAGCAAGTTCTGGAGACACAGAAGACTGAGTGTCTTATTGCCTAGAAATGGAGGCACAATGGGTAACCCACCTGGCAGGATCAGCCGCAGGTACCCAATGTAATATGACCATGCCAGCCCATGGGCCACATTGAAGTTATTTTTTTCACAGACTGCAGAGACCTCAGCTCGAGTCAAGCCCTGTGGACAGCAGATGAGGCTAAAAAGCTTCCATGAAACATACCCAGAGCCCTCCTCCTTCAGGAAGCTTTCCCAACTTACTGCCAACTTGCTCCCTTCTCCACTGTGGCTGAACCCACCATCCCAGGACATCATAGGCTTCACTCCCAGGACTCCAATTTTTAAACCAGTCCCACTTCCAGCACTGACCTTAGGCAGGTCACATTCTAGCCAGAGCCTCCACTCAGCCACACCTCCACCTCCCTGCGTTATACCTGGAGGTTCAGAAGGATATTCAGGGCCTGTGAGAGGCCCAGGAGGGGAAGCGTCCAGCTGAGGGGAAGGTCAGAAGTGTTTGGGATGTAGAAGTAGAAATAGCAGGACAGCATTAGCAGGGCCCCACGGCGGATGGGGCAACCCAGGCAGGCGCTCATAGCCTTCCAGTAGCTTCCTTGGTACCTGCAGGGAACAACCAAGTCCAGATCACAGTCCAACCCAGCCAGAGAGGTTCAGGGAGGAGTAGAACTAGGAGTCAAAGAGGTGACATTTGTTAGGTATCTTGTTGCCAGGGGGATTTGAGGGAATCACCTGGAGTGGACATGGTATAACTCTTCGGCTAGACAGCAGACCCCTTTTAACAGTAGTTCCAGCTGCAAGGAGGCAAGGTAGAGCACCAGGCACCGGAGAGTTTGGGATGCGGCTTCTCCTAGCTCCCAAAGGGCCACCAGGCAGGCCCCCAGCAGGACGAAGGCTGCCTGCTGGGCCCGGTGACCCCTGGGTGGTGGGATGGATGGATGTAGGCTGGAATACGGCATCTGTAGGCACCAAGAAATCCATGGCCATGGGCAGAGCTCAAGCTGCAGAGTGTCTGCCTAACAAGCATGAAGCCCTGAGTTCAAACCACAGTACAGCCAAAAAAAGAAATCTGTGGCCATGTTCCTGGTGCACCCCTGCTGTTCTGGGACTGAGGCCCTGGCTGGGTACTTCCCCATCTTCACCCTTTGCTATAGGCTGCTCTTGGAGACTCCTCTAGGGGACACACCTTCCCACAGCTCCTGTCCAGGAGATTGTTGCAAACAGAGCAGGGCCCACACCTGTACATCCCACTGAGCCTTACTGACCGCCATTATGGTAAGGAAAGAAGGCAGCCATTATTCCAGACCCAGACCTAGAAGTGTCCTGTACTGCCCAACCGACCTAGGAACCCTGGGACCTGGGTCCCCTGTCCTCCAAAGGCTCCCACCCCAGCTTCCCAGGGCTCTGGCTGTGCTGCTCTCGACCCTACCTTCTGCCTCCTGGGCTTGCTTTGCTCCTGGAAGATGACAGACAGTGAAAGCCTGGCACAACAGCTACCAGCAAACAGCCACCAAGCCTTTGTAGCACAACCTAAAAATGAAACTTTAAAAACAACTGCAGCTTCCTCCGCAGCACCCCAGCCCTGGCACCTCGCCAGACCACGGTTTTAAATACTCTGCAGAAAAGGGTACTTCCTGCCTCTCAGGGAAAAAGGAAGGACACTCCCCCACAAGCCCGAGTCTTGGGGTCGGGGTAAGTGGGGTAAAGTTTGAGAAAGCTCCATTTCATTGCTCTTTGCTATCCCCAAACTAAGGATGTTCCAAAAGTCACTCACTCACCTGCAGCCACAACTCTGCACAGCAGCTTCCCCACAAGCCCCCCAGGTTCCAATGAGCTTTACTAATACCCAGCAGGACTGCCCACAAGGACCAAAGGCGACCCTCACCTCACAGGAGGCTTCCTGTCTAACGGACAGGAATTTCCAGATGCCTACTGAACCTCTGAAGACTGGGGATTGAGGGAGGGCGGGGAGAGCACAGTTACTTCCTGTAAATGCCGCCTTTTCAGCAAAGGGAGAAGGCTGGCTGAGAAGTGATGTCTATCCCTGTTTTACAGGTGGGTAATCTGAGGCTCGGTGAGGTGAACTAAGTAAGTGAGGGAGTGAAGACCTGAAGCCTGGTGGGTGCTCTTCATGAGAAGGGGTGGTATGTGCCAGCACCGAGTCGTCTCATGCATACACTTTCCCTTGGCATAGAAAGTGTCTGGCTGCTGTCAAGCAAACTGCAGTGCTAATTTCAGGACAGGAAAGGGCCTGGGGAGTGGGGTTAGGGTGGCCCTGCCAGGTCAGAGGGTCCTTACCTGGACTGTTCTCCACATCACACGAAGATACAGGAAGAAAACACATTCACATAAATCCCTGGGATCCCAGGAGCAATTTGGCTTCCTGGAAATGCTCTGGATTTTTGAAAATCATTTCATAATACTGGCGGGAATCCTCACACTTTCTCTTCCCTCTGATTGGCTCACATAAAAGGCTAGAAAGATAGATGACGAAATGCTAACAATGATTGCTCTGTGCTTTTTATTCTGTTTTTTTCCTTGCTCGTTACATTGAACAGGTTTAAGTTATGCAGTAAAGAGAGAAACTCTCAATAGTGTCTTGGGACCTCCTTCCACTCTCTCAGTCCTCTTTCTCCTCTGCCACTTTTGTCCCCCTCTCCACTGCTCTGGCCTTATATCCCTGAATTTTAACTTGCTCTAATTGAGGTCTTGTAGGCACAGAAGGCACGGGGCCAAGTCATATAGAAAGAGTAAGATGTGGCATGGAGGCCAGTAATAAGGAATGTTGGAAGCTAAGGAGGCAGGAAGGTCAGCCAGAGCCTTGTATGTGGAGGTCATTCCATGATCTAACCTGATTGGCTGGAGAAAAAGGTCCAGAGAGTGGTTAAGAGACAGAAGGTTGCTTAGGAGGCACAAACCCCACTGTCTGGAACTCAAATGCTCAAATGTCCTACTAGGAGTTCCTGCACCTCTTACCCATGCATGTCTTCCTGTTGTGCTGGGCATGACCTAGTACTGCTGGTGAACATATCAGGCCAGGCCTTCTTGTCATGGTACCTACAGTTGAGCAGGGAAAATTGGCATAATGTAACTCAAGCAAGTGGCTAACTGTAGATGTGGTGCTGCATTTGGCTTGCTACTCCGAGGGGAACCTGAAATATTCAAGTCCAGATTCCTTGAAAGTGTGTCATTTGGAAGGACTTTGGAAGGAATATGGGAGGGTGTGTATGTACAGAACATTCTGAAAGGAGTGGCACACGCCAAGACCCTGGGGTAGGCAGGAGCTTGGCCTGTGGAGGAACAGGGAAATGGTTGGTATGGCTGAAGTGTGTGTGTTTGGGGATCTATATTACTCTCCTAAGGCTACTGTATCAAAATATCACAAATTAAGTGGCTTTAAATGACAGAAATTTACCTTCTCACAGTTCTGAAAGCCAGAAGACAGAACTGAGGATGTCGGTGGGGCCGTGCTTCCTCTGAAAGCTCTAGAAGAGGCTTATTCCTTTCCTCCTCCACTTTTTGGTGGTCTCAGGTGTTCCTTGGTTTGCAGGAACCAAATCTCTCCCTCCTTTCTCACGTGGTGTTCTTCATATGTCTCTGTTGCTGTGTGTCTGTCTTAACCTAGTGCTTCTTCTTCTTATAAGGATCTAGTCACATTGGATTAGGGCCCTCTTATGACCTCATTTTACCTCAGTTACATATGCAAGGACCAAATAAAGTCACATTTACGAGTTGCTGTAATTCGTCCCTTCCAGAACTCATTTTGGAGTTTAATCCCCACTGGGAGTTGTTAAGAGGGTGGAAACTTAATCCAGTCATGGTGTTTGGAGGTAGAGACTTTGAAAGGTGATGACATCACGATTGGAGCATCCATGACGGAATCCCAGTAGTTTTATAAGAAGGAGAAAGACCAGTGGAGAGACACACACATTCCATATCTCTTGTCACGTGATGCCTTGCACCAACTTGTGACTCTGCCAGAAGAAAGCCATCATCATAAGAGGTCTCTTGACTTTGAACCAGAATCCTGAGCCAGAATAATTCTTTTTTTTTGTCTTTGTAACTTACCAGTTTGTTGTATTGATTGTGTTATTGACCACAGAAAACATTGCATATATAATGGAGGTTAGGACTTCAGAATATATTTTGACCTTAACAGGGTCAGTGATAAAAGTAGAGCTCTGGAGAATGAGGAGGACCTTGTGGGTTGTGACCAGGGCCTGAGGAGTGTCATGACAGCTGCTTGCGTGGCACTGTCCTTAACACTCAGTTGCACAGACAGACAGAGGACTCACAGCTCTTCCAGATTGGCCTAAGGTTTTCCAAGGAGAAAGCCAAAAGCTATGGAGGGAAGTTAAGCCAAAGTTTCATGTTGCCTGGCTTACAGGCTGCTACTCTCAAGCCACTGTTCAACTGGTAGTTTCTTCTTCCCTCCTAATGCCCTGGAAGTGCTGGTCTGGGCAGGCTCTTGCTTCTATTTCCAGCACAGTTATAGCTCCCTAAAGTCTTCTCTAAAATTTATTATCAGTAATCCCAGCTACTGGGGAGGTGGAGGCAGGAGGATTATAAATTCGAGGCCAGCCTGGGATACATAGACAGACCCTGTCAGAAAAAAATAAAAACAAACAAAAAAACAAGGGCTGGGTTTAATTCCCATCACCACATACACTTCTACAAAAAGTTCAGTGTAATAAATACATAAGCCAGTAGCAGTCATTTATTATCATTGCCAAGTATCATGTATTGTACATCATTGTATGTACTGTACCTTGCTTGAGTGGCAGTGCACTGGGTTTGTTTTTTCTGGCACAGCCACAGGCATGAGTAATGCATTGGGCTGTGAGGTATAAAGGGTACAAGATTGATAGGCAATAGGAGATTTTCAGCTTCATTGTAATCTTATGGGACCATATATGCAGTCCTTTGTTGATAGAAACATCATTGTGTGAAAACTGTGTTTGAGAAGAAATTTATTTGGGGAATTGGCTCATGTGGTTCTAGAGGCTGAGAATGTCTGTGAACTTGGGACCGTGGGATGCCAGTAGCATGGCTCAGGCCAAGTCAGAAAGCCTCCAAACCAAGAAATTTGATGCTACAGTTCTCAATCCAAGGCTGAACCGGGTTGGGAGAGGAAGCAGGGGTGCAAGTCCTGGAATCCCAGGCCAGAAAGCCTGGAGTTCTGAGCAGGGTGTAGTTCAGTGGTAGAACATTACTAGATCTAACAAACCTGGGTTCAAATCCCACAGCCTTTTTTTCTTTATTCATATGTGCATACAAGGCTTGGGTCATTTCTCCCCCCTGCCCCCACCCCCTCCCTTACCACCCACTCCGCCCCCTCCCTCTCCCCCCCCCCTCAATACCCAGCAGAAACTATTTTGCCCTTATCTAATTTTGTTGTAGAGAGAGTATAAGCAATAATAGGAAGGAACAAGGGTTTTTGCTGGTTGAGATAAGGATAGCTATACAGGGCATTGACTCACATTGATTTCCTGTGCTGGGTGTTACCTTCTAGGTTAATTCTTTTTGATCTAACCTTTTCTCTAGTTCCTGGTCCCCTTTTCCTATTGGCCTCAGTTGCTTTTAAGGTATCTGCTTTAGTTTCTCTGCGTTAAGGGCAACAAATGCTAGCTATTTTTTAGGTGTCTTACCTATCCTCACCCCTCCCTTGTGTGCTCTCGCTTTTATCATGTGCTCAAAGTCCAATCCCTTGTTGTGTTTGCCCTTGATCTAATGTCCACATATGAGGGAGAACATACGATTTTTGGTCTTTTGGGCCAGGCTAACCTCACTCAGAATGATGTTCTCCAATTCCATCCATTTACCAGCAATGATAACATTTCGTTCTTCTTCATGGCTGCATAAAATTCCATTGTGTATAGATACCACATTTTCTTAATCCATTCGTCAGGTGGGGCATCTTGGCTGTTTCCATAACTTGGCTATTGTGAATAGTGCCGCAATAAACATGGGTGTGCAGGTGCCTCTGGAGTAACCTGTGTCACAGTCTTTCGGGTATATCCCCAAGAGTGGTATTGCTGGATCAAATGGTAGATCAATGTCTAGCTTTTTAAGTAGCCTCCAAATTTTTTTCCAGAGTGGTTGTACTAGTTTACATTCCCACCAACAGTGTATAAGGGTTCCTTTTTTCCCGCATCCTCGCCAACACCTGTTGTTGGTGGTGTTGCTGATGATGGCTATTCTAACAGGGGTGAGGTGGAATCTTAGTGTGGTTTTAATTTGCATTTCCTTTATTGCTAGAGATGGTGAGCATTTTTTCATGTGTTTTTGGCCATTTGAATTTCTTCTTTTGAGAAAGTTCTGTTTAGTTCACTTGCCCATTTCTTTATTGGTTCATTAGTTTTGGGAGAATTTAGTTTTTTAAGTTCCCTATATATTCTGGTTATCAGTCCTTTGTCTGATGTATAGTTGGCAAATATTTTCTCCCACTCTGTGGGTGTTCTCTTCAGTTTAGAGACCATTTCTTTTGATGAACAGAAGCTTTTTAGTTTTATGAGTCCCATTTATCTATGCTATCTCTTAGTTGCTGTGCTGCTGGGTTTCATTGAGAAAGTTCTTACCTATACCTACTAACTCCAGAGTATTTCCTACTCTTTCCTGTATCAACTTTAGAGTTTGGGTCTGATATTAAGATCCTTGATCCATTTTGAGTTAATCTTGGTATAGGGTGATATACATGGATCTAGTTTCAGTTTTTGCAGACTGCTAACCAGTTTTCCCAGCAGTTTTTTTGAAGAGGCTGCTATTTCTCCATCGTATATTTTTAGCTCCTTTGTCAAAGACAAGTTGTTATAGTTGTGTGGCTTCATATCTGGTCCTCTATTCTGTTCCACTGGTCTTCATGTCTGTTTTTGTGCCAGTTCCATGCTGTTTTTATTGTTACTGCTTTGTAATATAGTTTGAAGTCA